TGATGTAATGGGTCAACTGCAAAAAGGTCCAATACTGAAAAGCTAAAACGGAGCATCACACCACCTATCGTAGCAGAGTCAGACATACCGTGCTTGTACATTGGGACAAGAAAAGTAGTCCAATTCAATGGCCTAGTTGAACTCTACATAGCTACTGAGTATAAATGTCAGTATCTTGACATCGTAATGTTGTTACGATACTAATATTGATACTGAACACCATTGTCAATAATAAAGATAAACATGTAGCACAGTAGCTCACCTGGTAACTCATGCATACTAAGCACACTGTGGCTGCGTCCTTACTGCAGAGACCTGGGGTTTGATTCCATCTTGGTGCACTTTGCTGCTTGTCATTCCCAGTCTCTCTCCTCTTTCCTGACACACTTCACTGTCCTATCAAAAAAAGGCAAACAGCCATAAAAATAATCTTCAAAAAGAGATTAACAAAGATAAATATACCAAGGCTGCAGAGACGAGCAGAATGACTGCAGTAAACACAATAAGAGACAGTGAGAAAGTGCAGCTGGTGTCTTGATACTATGGAAAATGACTATTAATTAAAACCATTTCAACTGTTCAGCATCACAATTACACTGATATTTTTTTGACAAAACTACAATAAACAATAGAATACTGTGCATCATTCGGCAGAGCATACTGTGTTGTGCTTTAGTTGGCCGTATTGTTTCATACTGTGATGTTTGGTTTTGATATTTTGATGTGGTCAGCTGATTATTATATGCAAACATAAAGCAAGTGCTTGCAGCGATGAATGTTTGTATGCAATAAGAGTCACAGTCAGTCGTTCTCTCTTTGAGGCATGTGAACCCCCCCCCCCCGAAAGCCATGGTATAGTTCGCACACTGAGTACAACTGAGTGATTTTTATAGCCAGTACCATTTTACAATATCTGTACCAACCTGAAAACATCATCCATGGCACTTTTTCAGAGCCCCTCTTTTCCTGTCTGATGCTTCTCGGACTCGAGTCTCCATCCCTTCTGTCACACCTTTGATGCCCATTATAAATTTGCACCAGACTCCACAGGTTCTCTTGTGTGTTTTTTCCCTTTTATCTTGGCTTCTAAACCATTTCTCTCCCCACTCAGCCTTCATGTATTCCCTCCTTCCCCGCTCTCATTTATTTCCATTGGAGGGCATCGATTGGCTCGTTTAAGCCCCTCGGTCTGGACTAATATTTCACTCCATGCAGCCCCGTTCCACTCGTTCACCCTTTCCCTCCATCGTGCTTCTCCCCTCTCCCTCTGTCATTAGTCCCACCCTCCTACCATCCAAATACTTGACAGGACAGACAGTATGAAGCCAACCTGATGGGTGGAGATCGTGATTGAAACAAGCCCTCAGTATTGCCCACAGACCATTTGGACGGCACAAACATGCACCTATATGTGTACACTCATTTTTGTGTCATTATTGCCAACTTGAAGGGAACCTCATTGATTGAGTCCTCCAGCTGTATCTGAGTATATACATATCATACAAACTGGGATAACCACTGCATGCTTTGAAATTACGTGATTATTTTTTTTACCAGAAGTTGCTGGGATTCCACTGCCACACACTCTCCTCTCATGAAACCCTCCGTCTGGGGTGGCATTAACAGTAAAATCAGTTATGAGGCACTACACTGATTGGCTGGCAATATTGCTGCCATCACCTTGTCCCTTGACAGAAACAGTTTCCGCTGAACTGGAGACAAGAGCGGATCTAATGCTACGCAGAGATGATTCAGAATTAGACAAGAATATCACTATTTGCTCCCAGTGAGACATCACACAGAACGACAGCTCGGTGTTAGTGCATCACATTAAGACACTGCTGAATCTGTGTGGAGTGTCTCTGTTATCCAGTATCTGAAAGAATGGATTAACACATATTCTTCCATTTTACCCCCTTCTTATTTTGATCCTCACCCTCATCACCACCAGCTGCTTTACATTTTTTTTAATGTTATTCTGTATATTCAAAATAGAAGTCCTCTGCTACTTAAAAACTGCTTTGGTTGTTATTTTGGGGACACACATTCTAAATATCGATGGGAGCGTGTCCCCTGCGTCCCCCCCTCACCGAAATCTACGCCTATGCTAATGCTGCCACTAACCCGAAACATGTCCATGTCCTAATTCAATTCAATTAGCCACAATAAATTGTATTTCTCCACTAGGCCTCTGAGCATTGAACGTCTCAGCTGAGCTCCTTTCAGCCACTCTATGCAAATACCACACTTCATCCTACCCAACCTCGTTCATGGAATATATACGCCTGTTCCCTGTTGTTTGCCCCTAACAAGTCACTGACTTACACAACCAAAAAAGACCAAATATAATCAATACCTGTTTTATACTCACATGCCACAGCTTCCTTGCAGTCCCCCTGATAAGATGTTGACCTGCAATAACAACACAAACTATAAGTAATATTTATTTGGGCCAATAGCTTCCCCTCTTTTGTTTTTTGGTGGGTTTTATTGCCATATTTTTTGTGTGTGAATTTTTAAATGACAAATGACCTGTGCCAGACACTGACCTTACCATACCCAAACTACTGTAAGCTTAAAGGGACAGTTAACCCCAAAATCAGAAATATGCTTTTCTATTTACCTGTAGTCTCGCCACCAGACCATCAGAGATCTCTGGCTTCTGATTCTGGGAACACTCCTTTCTAAAGTGTGTTTAACACACCGGCGAAAACGGCCGGCAACAAAGCAACTCCTCTTGCATTTTTTAAAAGTTCATTTCTTCTTTGAAATGTGTGCTCCCCCTTTTCTTGTCCGCAAGGATACAAACACACAGAGAGCTTGAAAATGGATGCCGAGAGATTTAACTCCGTTTTATCAAACGTGTGCTCAGTCCACAAGATTGTGGAAATGAAGGACTTACAGCGACTTGAGCCATTTTGTACCTCTGCACGTGTTTCTAGTCAGACTATGTTTATGAGCACAAGAGTTCGGGTCCATGTCATTGGTTCGACATCCCATTAGTCCGACTGTCTCACGGCTTATGTGTTTGTCACTTTCTTTTTCATTTTAACCCACACCATGATCTTTTCCTGACCCTAACCAAGTGGTTTTTGTGCCTAAACCTAACCAGACCTTAACCACAGGGCATCATGATGATTTCGGAACGGACTTTGGTACAATGAGTTTAATATGGTCGGAACAATGGGATGTCGAACCAATGGGCTGTCGAACCAATGGGCAGCTCCCAAGAGTTCATCGAGCCACCAAAGGACTGCCCTGCGGATTTACTATTGGTTCTGCAACACAGGGAGTTTTTTTAAACTCTGAAATTGTATCCGCCCATCTAAACACAAAATCTGGGAGACAGTCATCAGTCTTTAGTTAAGCAAAGCGTCTAAAGACTGACCTGTGAGTCTAATTTACCTGTAGTGCTATTCATCAGTGTCGATTGTTTTAGGGTAGGTGGTACAGTGTTGGAGATATCGGCTGTAGAGATGTCTGCCTTCTAAGGTAAGGTAAGGTAAGGTAAGGTAAAACTTTAACGTCCCCAGGGGGCAATTTGGGATACAGACAGTAGTCATAACTAAAACAAAAGACAGTACAATACATAACACACAGAATCCAGTATCACACACTGTCAGGGATACATCATGGACAATTAGTGGTCACTGCTGGTTAAGAAAAGCGATAGCAGACAGAACAAAGGACGATCTGTAATGCTTAGTGCTACATTTAAGAAGGCAAAACCTCCGCCCTGATGGAAGCATCTGAAACTCAACATGAAGGGGATGCTGAGAGTCTGAGTCTCGTCCGAACTTTAGAGGTGACTCTCTCTTCATACAGATGCTGTAGGTTATTAAAAGTAACAACTTTCAGCACACATTTTCCAACTTGTTCTTGTTTTTAAGGCTAAAATTACCAAACTAACAGACAATTTATTCATTCATTCAATCTTTCCAATATAATGGAACTGCATGGTAAAAGAAATCAGAAATCATGACCCGGTTACTTAAAATAATCCAGACCTTGTTGTGCTACACCCTCCAACCATATCACTGCACAGAAGGAAGCGTACATCTACTGCTACCTCATCTAGCACCAGGACACCATTAACATTTAAATTTCACACTTTCTCAAGCACGAGCGTCCTGTCATTGAGTAGATGCACCCTTCCTTCTGTGCAGTGATACAGTTGATGGGTGTAGTCCACCTTTAAGAAAATAATTTGTACATGAAACTGCTCACAACAAGGTCTGTGGATTATCTTGAGTAACTGGGTCATGATTTCTGCAAAGAGACATTGCTGTTGAGTTTTTCAAATGTATTTTTTCTCCACTCCCTTTAAAGTAGTTTAAAGATGTTGGTGCTGGGCTGGCCAAAATATCCTCACTCTTGAAGGTCTAAAACTATAATGTGTCCACATGAGGTAGAGGTACAGGCACATGCTCAGAAAATAAAAGCAAAAGGATCACAATATCATAAGCTGGAAGAATCATCAATGTAAGGAGCTCTTATACTATATGCTCGTCAGCGCTGCACAGATCTTGATAAGGAAATCTACCCAGATTTTGTCAAGCATCCACTGTGAACATCACTTGGGGCTGATTTAACGTAGCCTCTCTGCACATGCACACAGCCTGCTGCCCTAAGGTGAGGACATGTTTCCATCTGCTGATCCTTTGGAGCATTGCAATAGGCTCTGCGGCTATTTGGAAGCAAGGCCGGATCTAAACGCCACCCTGAGGAAAGGAGGTCCTGCTGTAAGAATTAGCATTGTATAATCATCTCTTTAACAATCACTGTTTTTGCATACATGTAATCCACAGCTTTGTCTTGGATGAGGAGTCAGTAGCAGAGACGCCCTTTTATAAAACTCAACAGCAGTTGACACAGTAAAATTGTCAGAGCCCCTGGATCACCTCAACCCCCAGACGAAGCAAGTACTCCTCTGAAGATAGACGTAGTTGATAAATAAATATAACAGACACGATATGAAGAAAATACCAGAAACACATCACTTCACTGAAACATTGCTACTCTTTTAATATTTTTTTTTTTTTTGCTTTCCAAATTTCACTTGTAAAAAACAGCATATTTCTTTGCAGTTTAATTAAAACATCAGGAAAAGAAAATATAGAAAAGCAACTGTAGATGATTTACAAAATATATACATTAAACTTATACATATACATACACACAGACGTATATACAGCTTTATACTAGACATCCATTTTTGCAAACAGTGGGGTCCAAAAGTCTGAGTCCACTGTAAGACCTGTACCTTTAAATGATAAAAACTACACAACTAATGTAAATGTTCTCCTCTCGGAAATTCTTTTAAAAATATTTTAAAAGCCAGCTTTAATCAAAATGATGCCATCTTTAAAGAAATGCAACAAATACTAAAACAGTTTATCTATATCATGTCTCCTGTGTGATTCTTACTGCACGTGTCACTGTAACGTGACAAAGGACTTTCTGTCTAGTGCGTCTTTAATCTTTGTCAAGATTGCCAGATAATACGGATTCTCAAATTCAATTAAAAGAGAAACAACAAACAAACAAACCAACAAAAAACTGAAATACATGCATCAATAATAAAAACAACCATTCTGCAGTTTTTTGAGGAATAAATTATTTGACACTCATTTCAGTTTTTAATAAATGCGACTCTCTGGAGCTGGACTCGGGCTTTTGGACCCCACTGCAACATCTGTGTGTTCATGTATTTGTATATACTTGATGTATATATTGCACCATCCATCTACATATAACCAAATCAAGAACAAACTACACACGCTCCTTAGACAACAAAACTGTCCTCACCTAGCCGTCCTCAAGAACTGGCCATGCAAGAGAACCCAAAAGCCTTTTTTTTTTGTATCAAGATGTTAAAAAGACAAAAAAAAGAATATGCAGCCGGGCTGCAGGCAGGACAGGTGAGACTTTCCAGGACTTGCTAGCATGGCCAGCTGCTGATGAACTTTTTTTGCCAGAGGTGAAGGAAAAAAGGAGAAGTACTCAAAACACACAGGCAAAAACAACAGAAATATTGTACGTCTTGGAGGTCGTGACATCAGTATTTCTATATAAAGCACAGAGAAATTATGGGACTGATTAAAGGGGTGCTCTGTCCTATGCTATGCTAATGGAAACCATGGCAACAACATGCTGATGGATGGACAGCAGAGGGTGTACAGTGAGTTTTAAATTTGACTCAGAAAGGGGCCTGATCGAAGGCTTCAGGAGCTAAAGCCTCAAGTGTTTGATGGTAAAATGTTTGGTTAGCCACTGGGTCAGAGTTAAAGTTGGAATTAATGTTCTTCTTATGTACAGTGAAAGCTGGGGCTGTGCTGAGCAAGGACTAATTTCCAACTTCACTCGTGGTAATCTATCGAGAGTGGGTGCAGTTTTCAAAAATCGAGATTCCTGCTGAGAGCTTCCCACTGTTTCTGCTTGCTGTTCTGAAATCAGCTGCTTGTATTTTCATGCAGCAGAACAAAGGGAGCAGAAAAAAAATAAAAACACTTCATGAAAGAGGACTTAAACTCCAAATTAACATAATCACAATTACAAACACTGCTACAGTGGCGGGTCATATAAAAGTGCTTCTCTTTGCCACTGACAATTTCTGGAAACCATCCCTACAGAGACTGACCGAGAATAAGATCCTTTTTGTTTGACCATAACAGCCCCGAAATCGCCAACACCAAACTCACCACACTCAAATAAACAATTTAGCGTGTATAAAACCAGCATATTTTCACATCTAACTGTGTGACTTGAGGATTTATTTTAACGACACCAGAGTTGACGGTTGTTGGAGCAGTGGAAAGTTGAACCACGGTATCTTTTGAGTTTTCTATTTTGGTTTCTGATGGAAACAGGGATCTTACTATTTCACAAAGAGGTCCATCTCTTTAGGAGTACTTTTCCGTAAGTTGTCAGACACTTATGATAACAATCTGAGCGTGTCAGTGGCAAAATAAACACTTTTAATGGATATAAATTGGCGATGCGAACATGCCCTGAGTGGTAACACTGCAGCCTGTTTCAGTGCTGCTGTCTGCAATGGTCTCGCTCAATATCAGACCAATTTCACAAACTGTTATGCTCATTAGTAGACAGAATAACAAGGGAAAATAGGGTGCAGGTTGAAAAATACCAAATTTACCCTTTAACATAGCAAAATTAGACAGTGGCAGTCTAAAAAGGGCAAAAACAACTGGGTCCAAACTGTAATAACCACAGAGCCAGCAAAAATGAGCACATTTCAAGTAGAACAGTGGAAACATAACTGTAAAAACTGAACTTACAACTTAAAAACAACCCACAGTACACAGGAAGCTGACAAGTAACTGTTTTGCAAACTAACCCATCCCAGATTTGTAGCAGTGTTTGCCATGCTGATTACAAACTTCAAACTAATTCCTTTTTCATGTAGTGTTCACATTATTCTGTACACCCCATGGCTCTCTCCATAGCTCTGTCTATCTACTGTGACCCCACTCATCCTTCAGGCTTTGCCCTTGCTATCTTCCTCTCTTTTTATTCTGTCCCTTTCCATCGCTCTTCTTCTGCAGCCTTAAAGCATGTCCCGTCAGAAGATACAGTTCTGGCTGTTGGCTACGCACAGTTTGATTGTTCTTCTTCCCTACACATCCACCCTTTCAATCTGCCCCCTGCCTTGTGCTCCCCCCACCCCCACCACATATTTATATTACCCCCCTTTATAAAGCACTCTGCGCCGTTCTATGCCTCGTCTTGCTTGTACTCCATTGCTCCTCCGTTTCTACTGCTGCCGTATCCCACAGGAACATTTGCTCCATTGTTCCCGTTTCCCTCCCCTGACTCAAAGCTCTTCTCTTCCAGCGGCTTGCCAATCCAGGCGCCGTAACCGTGGCTGCTGAGAGCTCGGAAGAACTGCTGCTTGGCCATCTGGAAGGACATGGCCGACATCTTGGCCTGGGCGTAGGAGGGCAGGGAGAGGAGGTCTGTGCGGCCACACCGCTGGCACAGAGTGCGGAACAGACAGAACAGGTTGGACTTGGACACTCTGGATACGCTCAGTTTGTTCCTAGAGGAAAGACATTAGAGAGCTTTGTGGTAAGAGTGTTCATTAAACAAGGGAAACATAACAGTTTGTCTGGCAAGCTGGCATGACACAACATTTTCTCTGATCACGCAGTGTTTCCTATTTAGCTTACTTAACTGCCTGCTGCTCACAGTTTTTAATTAAAATTTAATTAAGCTTGTTGTTACTGACAGTTTTCACTGAATACAGCACAGAACTTGAGATTATCCAAAACAGAAAATGCTGCCAAGAGTTCCCTCACCTTGTGCATGTTGCCTTAAGGGTTTATTTGTAGTTCTCCATGGGACTCCCTAAAAACTTCACCCAGGGTTGGTGCCTTAGGTCCTGCGTCAGACAGCATTGTGTGCCTAATGTGAAGCCTCGTTGACTTGCATTGATTTGTCACGTTAAAGTTTTTGGATAAGATAGCAAAACCATGACCTTAAAAACTTCTTGCTTACGTAATTGTTGCCTTAACCCTGAGATTAAACCGACAGGAGACCTCATACCTGATTGTAACTTCAAACTGAGATGATTACTTCCTTTATTTTTTTGCGATGGTTGATTTAAAAAGATACACCTAGATTTTTACTCCTTGTACAGCTGCAACTGCGACTAGATTTCCCTGCAGTTTTTTTTCAGCTGTAAATTCTCAAATTGACCATCACAACATTATACCACTAAATAATGCCAAAATAAATTTAGATGTAAACTAAACACTGTCTGTATTCTGACATCGTTCATCATAGTTTCTTGACATCAGGCGATACAAGAAGCAGGCAGCAAGAACGACAGTATGTGATGGAAAGATATATTCACAATGTTAACTTTTATAAACAAAGAAAAACAATGCAAACTGAGGCTTCCAGTCTCAACAACAAACTGAGCAGTCAAGACTGACAGTCAAGGCTGTTCTGGGAATCAGTGAAGTACTCTTATTACTTTATTACTGACTACAGATCATGGTGCTGACCTAACATCAGTCTCTCTTCATTGTAGAAAGTTACTTCTGGGCGGCATGTAGCATTACAGAGATAATATAAACAAACATTTTACAAGCTTTAGAAATTAAACTAGCCCATACTTTGCCATTCAGTCCAAATTCTCATTTTTTCATTTTATCATATAAGGTAAAAATGTGCACTCTGAGCACAGGCTGAGATGGTCACAAAGCTTGCTGAAGTGTGCACTGCTGCATCCTGCAAAACCACACCCATCTGGGTGAAATACCAAATTTTTAGGGGGTCACGTTTGCCACATCTCATATTTCTTACTTATCTGAGAGGCACAGTACTAACCCAAACTGAATCTTAACAACTGATTGTGAAATCTTCCAACAGTTCTTCTGAAAGCAAATTCCAAGGATGTCTCTTTACAATGATGCGGTGTTTGTTCAACGACACAGTGATCAATAACTCGTATAGGTGAAAAACCAAACGCACATTTCTAGAAACCTTTTTAAAGACATACTGAGCAGCTGCTGGGTAAATCAATGTCTGCTCGGGCACAGAATCGACTTAAATCTGTTGTGGGTTAACACAGTTATTGTTCCCCACTGGAGAGAGACAAAGACACTGAACAGCTGCACTGCACTCCTTCAATAATAACTTGTTAAGTGGACATTGACAGACTATAAAATCCAAAGCTATTAATAAAAAATGTGTGCTGCCATCAGGAGCGACAGGCTTTGGTTTAGTTACATACCCATCCAGTTTGCCTTTGGTCCCATCCAGCACCTCTACACTGTTCTGGTCTGGAAAGCTCCAGTTCACACTGGACTCCTTGGTCTTGCCTGTGTGCCGCGTGGAATCATACACACTCACCCTGCCCACCTACAGTCCAAGCAGGTGGCGAGAAAGCAGGAAAGGGGAGAGAAGAGAGAGCGTATTTGGTTCAATCAGGCTAATTCAGCCCTTCAGTGTGAGTCAGCAATCCCAAACAGAGCGTGTAAAATTAGTTGTGTAATGCATGTGTCAGTGTGACGGCTGTGTCGATTAGGGACGATAGATTCTACCAATTTCACTAATGTGTAAATGTAAGCCAAGAAAGTGTTCAAAATGGGCTAAAACAAGGAGCAAGCTGAATTGTGTTTAACCGCCAGCTACGGTATTTCTCAGGCATCCTGCCTGGCGGTATGAGAGTGACCTACCTGCTATTTATTAATTGATGGATGTGCCAAATTTAAAGAAGACGAGCGACGAAGAAACAGTTGTGCAGGGGCAAACAGGAGTGTTGGCAGCTTAATTGATTAATTTTGTGAGAATGACCTCAATACTCCTGATTAATGTCCACATTTGACATTGCCAAAAACTTGTGTGCAGTTACCTCTGGGTGATTTAGAACAAAGGGAGGAGGGAGACTTTTGGCGAACGCTTCACCGTCTCTCGCCAGCCGGCAGCAAACAGCACGTGTGAGGTGCCCGTGGCTGTACAGGTAGCCTGATAAACACATGTTGTGGAACAGAAATTTAGGACAAGAAGCAACATAAAGTAGAGACATCATGCAACTTCACTGACGTTAACTATTGTGGATATTTGTCACATTATATATATCTGTGTGTTTTACCAAGCGTGATGGACTTCAGATAGATGGGATGCAGGAAATGGGTGAGCAGCGCCCCCTGCAGACCCACCACATTCCAGCGCAGGATCTTATCGCTGCAACTCATGGTTCGCAGCCTCTCGCCGTGCTGGATGCCATCCCAGGTGGGCACAATGGCACTCGACTCCACTGGGATGGTACCCTCGCCTGGCACAAGCAACAACACACAAAGGAAATACACAAAGGTCAGAGGTCTTGCTTATAGAACAGGGAGTGGAGTCATTCGTCTCCATGCACTGCACTGATATGAGGACAGATGCATGTCCATGTCATCTCTTACCATTCTCCACTTTGGTGCGGAGCTTTCCCTGCTTAGCGTTCTCAAACAAAGGCTGATGGCCCTCGACTTCATCCCCTGCCTCGCTGCATGACTTATCAAACAGGGCACCGTCCCCACAAGGTGCCGTGCTGTGTATAAGAGACACGATGAGACATCAGGAGAGGTGGACCACTTTGATCCAAGCATGAAACATTGATGCATCTGAGTGGTGGACATGACAGGAATGAAAGAGGAGAGCGTGGTGTGAGGTGACCAAGGTGAAAAGGAACATCTGACACTCCCACCTGATGTAGAGGTGAAAGGTGATGTCAGGTTTGATTTGCAGTTTATTTTTCTCCCCTGGCTCAAATATACTGTCGTCTGCGCCGTCATAGTGCTTGAGCAGCTCCATATACAGAAACCTGAGAAGAAAAAAGATGGAGTGAGACTTTCAGACGGGGTCTTGGAGAAGAGAGGTGGTATTTCCACCATATGAGAGAGACAGTGATGAAGAGCAAGATTTTCTACCGAAGAAATCCCCTCCTGGAGATGATTTCAGCGTGGCAATCATTAACAGTGTCCCCTTTAAGGCTCAGTTCCTCCCCTTTAACGCAGCGATTTCCTGACAGAAAAAAGACAAGAGAGACGCATTCAGTGTCAAAGTACACGACAATGCAATGCCTCTTGGTTCTGCAGTGACCTAGTTCTGTTTTAGTTATCTGACAGTGCATGCCTCTGAGCACAGACATCCATAAAACTTCCACACATCAGGAAAAAAAAATGCAGTGACAATGTAATTTTTTATGTTGCAACACATTTGCTTGTACTCCCTGTTGTTACCACTTCCCTTTGCTTCATTAATTATATGCTAAACTTAATGGAAATACCAGTTCCCAGGCTGACAACAGTCCCCAGGCCCTCCCCCCTCCTCATGACGATGGTGGCCAGAATCTTGCGTCCCAGAAGGCTGTGCTGGATACGTGTGGTCAGGGCGTTGAAACGCTGGTGACTCAACATCGCTATCTGGTCATGCAAAGTGCTGCCACTTACTGGAAGCTAGAGAGAGGGAAGTAGAGAGGACAGGACAGGCAAAACAGAATATGAGGATATGAGGATTATTAAGAATTGAACTGTATTGACTGTGCAATCCAATGATACAATCTCAGAAAAACTACCACAGTAAATTATCAAGACTTTCCAAACATATCTTAGTCTGCCTGAGTATGTGGTAGAAAAAAAAACCCCTGCAGTCAGATCATGTGTAATGTTTGCGTAATGTTCAAATGCTTCCAATACAAATTTAACACTTCCTGGAGCTGCTACAAAGCTAAAGCCTGCCAGTTAAGAGAACTGATTCAATCACTGTGAAGCAACAGATGTGTGGAGTTATAGACTCTGGATGTAGTTTAACTTACGTTGGTTATGTTTAATTGAGGTTTACTTTTTCTAAGGCTCCAATCAGACAGAGTGTGTTTATAGCAGCCTGGGATGGTTTTGCGCTGCTGAGCGCCTTGCATTTTCCAACTTTATACACCATGCGTTTCTGCAGGAGCGACCTGAATACCTCAAGATGAAAAACTTCAACTCAAGAGTGGAAAAGCACCTGATGTCATTTACGTGCCACCTGTGGTAGTGATGACAATTGGTGACGTGCATAGTTTCTGTGAAGCTAACGTTGGCCCCTTGGTCGCCCTAGGCAAGCTACAAGACATATCTGAACAAACTGTTGCCTCAATTACATTTCACCAGCCGTATTTAGGCCCGACAATTGACAGCAGATTGTCAAACTCTCCCTGACTAATCCTAAAATAATCCTTGATCTGACCATCATCCAGGTGAAGCTACAGGACCCCCTGGTGGTACTCCCTGTTATTTCTCCTTTTTCTGTGGCCTACATGGATCTGTTTCCCTCCGACCAACACACTCTGTCTGATTGGGACCCCAGTGTGCACATGCTGTTATTTGTCAGTGAAAATTAGCTTTTCCCCAGTGAGCTGGTTAGTGAGTTACATTATGTCCTGCCTGATCCCCATGTTGAGCCAAACAAGGCTCATGTTTCATGGTAGAAAATGTGAAACACTGAAAAATCAGTACCTCAGCTGGGATAAGCTCTCCAGTGCGGGCTGCCCTCTCAGCCTCTCCAATCAGAACCCGCAGTGCAGCATCTGCTGCCTCCTGTTTTCCCTGCTTCTTGTTGGACGCACACACAGGGGGGAACCAGCGTCCGCCCAGCTTGGCCTGGTAGGTGAACCTGAGCAGGGCCAAAGAAAAAAGGTAATCAGAGGAGGATTAACAGGGCACTCACTCAATTTAAGAACAACAGATCCCATGGAAACCTTTAAGGGAAAGAAACACAAATATCCATTCGAGCATTTTCCTCTGCATGTAAGCGCTGCTAAAACAACAGAGGTACAGAGAAATTTAGTAAAGAGGTCTTTGATGTTCCAAAACTTTAAATTATTACACAAAATTGAATTTTCTTAAGAACCATATTGGTATACTTATCCAGGCAAATGGAAACCTGGACAGTTTTTTAACCCAGTGTGTACATGTTAATTGTGTATTAACGAGCATTAATGCAGTTCACACATACTTTGGCTCATGTGGCGGCCCAGACTGGCCCACCAGTCGAATCTCAGCGGCAAAGCCTCGGGCTCTAGCGTACTCCAAAAGACCTGACACTGCGTTGTTGTTCAGGTGGTTAATGAGGTCCCCAACACCTGCCTCGTGTGCTGCTCGCAACTCATCTGCAGTCAGAGGCGGCAAAGAGGGACATGTAGTCCCAGAGCCACTGCCATCACTATCACTGGAGGAGCCCAGGGGCAACTGAGGCTGGAGAAGAGAAAAGGGGGTAGGAGTGGAGAAAGAGAGAGATGTGAACGGCATTGAGCAAACGACACAGAACAGCATAAATCATTTTTTTAGACTGAGTGATCTGTTGTTCTTCTAAAGTCATTACACTCATTTTGGGGATATGCAAAGCCCCTCTCATTCCTCCCAAATGACCGGCTTGAGTTACTCTCTGCTTCCCACTCCTCACCTTGTTGAGCTGCAGTCTCCCATCAGCCATTAATTCTTTGACGGCCTCTTCTGCTGCCAGCTGGCGGGCTGCCTTTTTGCTTGGAGCCGAGGCCTCTGCAAACAGGCTCTCTCCGACCTTCACCCTGTACATGAACCTGAACACAGGGCAGAGATGGTTGAGAAGGGAGAGACTTTTCTTGGTTTTGCGACTGAGATCACACTTTGTTGAGTCACTATTCCACTTCCTCGATTTATCACATTTAGATAAATGAGAAGATGCAACAGAGTAGAGCCTGTGGTGATCCAGTGATCAAGACAGATGCATGCAGTGTTTTTAGAAAGTCACCAAAGAACATAAAAGTTTGTATTGTATCCACCAGCCAGTTGCCTAAAGGGATGGATCATAAATGGAAAGAGTGGCAAAGAGTGAATGGACAGAGACAGTATTGTGTCTTTGTCAGCTGACAACAATATTGAGAACAGACTGAACAGAAATAGCTGATCAACTGCTTCCCTGAGGAGGAACTTGCAGTATGGGGAGAACAGAATCCAAGAGTATAGATTCAGAGGGAGGTGACGGAGCCAGTACCTTGGGTCATGTGGTGGGCCTGCCTGCCCGGTGATGATGAATTCGATGGGGTTCCCGCTGCGCTGGCTGTACTCCATCAGGACAGACACCGGATTCTTCCCACCAGGCAGAGAGCGGGACAGTGGCTGGCGAGGTCCCTCCGCTGTCGCCATCCCTTCCACAGTACCGGCCCCAAAAATTCCTCCTGTGCTTTCAGCTGGCCCCTGGTAGATAGTGAAAGAGACAAAAAATATATATTTAAACTAAAGCTGTTTTTATGACTGTAGCTTTTAATAAAATAGCTCCTGATTCATTCAAACTTTTTACCAGGGCTGCAAAATAATTACAAAGTGCTGGCCTCCTGCTCTGGTGCATTAAATGTGCTCTCTACTCACATGTTCAGTGCCTGACCAGATGCATGTGTTAAAGCAAGATTTAGCTGGCTTTAAGTGGCTGATTGGGGGGGGGGGTTTATTTCTGCACATTCAAACAAAAACTTACACTGGTGTCTGAGAGTAGTTCCATCACTTGGTCCACATTGGCATTATTTCCTTCGTCTCCCGTGGTCGACCCACCCTGCATCTCTCCGATGAGAATGCGCAGGGTGGCCGCAGCGGCGTCCTTTTTTGCAACCTTCTTACTGGACGCTTCTGCGACAGGAAACAGCCTCCCATTGAGCATCACCTGCATGCGAAATCTGAGCGAGGGAGAGAAAATAAATGGATGAGACGCAGTGATCGGTCAATATGTGATTAAATAAGCAGCTACAATTTTCCAAGACGACTCTGTTGCATAACAAGCAATGTAATGTTCATCCTTAATTGGCAGCATCATATGTCTTCATTAAGGCAGATTTATTTCTCACAGAGTTTGAATCAATAGGTGTGTCACAAGGTGCTTTACAGAGGGTAATAAACATGTGGGTGGAAAACAAAAAATGATGCATATCACATAATGAAAGAGACAGCACTTCCACTTACACAGGTATGCACTGATCCAACTTTTTCTTTCTCAATACCTCAACTAAGACCATTAGCAGATATGGATTACTGTGCTAATTTTCCCAATTTTTAAGTGTACGTTGAACTAAGGATGTCACTATCAAGTTATTTTGTCTCCGCTCTGATACATTTAATATTGCATTATTGCCAATACTGAGTCCTGATCCAATGCTTGTTTTCCTACATATTGCAGCTGCACAGTGCACACTTCAAGAACATAAAAGCTATTAAAATCAATCCAGTGTATATGCTTAACAATTAAAAAGCTCTACGCTGCATTAAAAAAATCCCCGCATCCAAGCTGTTCCTTAATGGATTTTTTTTTTTTTTTTTTTTTACAAAGGACAAAGTATAAAATAAACCCTCTCTGTAATCTTTTAGCCGTTGTTGCTGTCTCGAGGAAATTTCTCTCTCCCCTTAAGACAGAGTTCTGTTGCGTTGGTGGAGCCTTTGACTGAATGAACTGTACTCTGTTGAGTGTTTGTTTTCATCGCCTGTACATCTTCTGTACGGATTACATTAATAAATTACTGGTGTTTTGCTTGTGGGGCTTTTGTTACACTTGCAGTGGCGTGGTGAGTGTTGCTGTCTCTGGCTCTCCACTGCTGTCTGTCTCAAGCAGAGGGGTGAAACACCATGCCCCACGGATGACCGCAAAACACAAGAGACACTCACACTGAGCTGAAATGAAACGAGTGCACATAACTTAGGTAAATAACATCGACAGGCGGGGTGTGGAGAGGAGGAGAGACAGAGAGTTGGAGAGTTGATGACTGCTGCACTTGTTGCTGTGCAAGAAAGCTTTGCGGGTAAAAACACCTTTTTAACAGCTGACAGAACAAAGGCTTGGATTGGGTATCAATTAATCAGTTAATAAAAGCCCTGATCGGCCCTAAAACCGATCTTTAAAATTGGATCAGGACATCCCTACATGGAAATAATTGGGTCAGTTTGATAAGAGATTTCTGTAACACTGACACCAGACTCTGTGGCCCACTGTGACTTGTTGAAGGTTACTGTTATAATGACATGGACTAAGACATTGTATTTAATGTGAACTGGTCAATACCTAAGGTCAGTATTGGCCCTGGTGCATCCCACGGTATATTTCAACATACCAGCATGAAAACAAAGACAGTGACCACAGACCAACATTACAGTAACAAACAGAAAAGGTTGCGTGACTAACCTTGGGTCGTGAGAGGGCCCCGACTGGTCGAGGAGCAGGAACTCACAGTTCTGGCCCAGATACTGGGCGTACTCCATGAGGCCGCTGACAGGGTTCTTCAGCCTCACCTCTTGTAATTTGGCCCACAGGTTCTGGGGAGGTGGAGCAGCCAGTGACACAGCTACAGTCCCTACAGAGTTGGCCTTCTCTGCTGCCAGTTTCCCAGCGTCCGTCTCTCTGCGAATGGCGTTGAGGAATTCTGGGATGTCGTCAGTGGCCCACTCTCCTTCGTTGGCCTCTTCATCTTTGCATGTAGTAAGGAAGGGAGGCTGGAGGGAGGATTGGGCCTTAAAAGGGAAAAGCAGAGGTAGAAAGGTTAATAAAATCAGGGTAGAACTCCAGGGCTGGTAACCACAGCTGAATACATCTAGTAAAAAGACACTTTTTCAAGGAACGATGCAGTTTCTTCTCTTTTAACGGAGTAGTTCTACAATGCCCATGCAAACCCTAACACATCCACCCAGTAAATATAAGACTACTTCTGCTCCTGTTATCTTAGCTTAGTATAACGACTGAAAACAGCAATTAAGCAGCCAAAGTCAAATAGATTTAATTTTGTTATTTCTAGTTATGTTTTGAAATGTAATTCACCTTTATTGGACTATTTTCTCCGGTATTGTTCTTTATAAATCTGAATGTATTCACCTTAATACCATTAAATAAATACATAAATACGACACACAGAAATTTTACCCACCGCTTCGCTATGACTTTGCTCTGGCATCCAACCCTCCTGGAGCGGCAGTGGCTCCAGGCCTGGTATTGGTGGTAGTGGAGATGACGGCATAAAGTCGGACGCTCCTTTCATCTCATCTCTACTGGGTTCCTCCCCCATCCATTCCCCCTCAGTGCGGGGGCTCTTTGCAGCTTTAAGGCTCCTTTCCATTCTCTCTTTGCGGTGGGTAGAGAGCTCCCAAGTGGGAGGGTTAACTTCACTGTGCTTAACGACGTCACCTTGCTTCTCCAGCGCGTAGAGGGTGGGATTGACCTGTTTGGCACTCCTTAGCCCCAGATTTTTGGCTATGACGAGAGCAGTTGCCTCCCCTGTAGCCAGGAGGTACTGCAAAACTAGCTCCTTCTGTTCTGCCATTGCGGGAAGCGCAAGCTCTGGATCAGGGGAGCTGGTTGTGCTGGGGTGCTGTTTCTCCGGATACTGACTTTTTGCTGGTGCCTGGGATTCTTCAGAGTCAGATGACTCTGAAGATGAGCAGTAAGAAGAACTGGATTCTGTGTCAGAGTCCTCTTCTTTGGCTTGTCCCCTGATTTCTGTTTTTAGCTCAACCTTGGCTTCAGGTTCTGGAGTGTGTCCTCCTGAGCTGACACACAGCTGGGAAGGTGGCCTTTGTGCTGAAGAGTTTTGATCCTCGTTGCCTCTGAGAGGTCCTCTGTAAAGACTCCACAAGGGGGGGTGGAGTCCTTGCTTGGAGGCTTTCTGTAAGTGCTCCAAAGAGTAGAGAGCCTTGTTGACTATCTTTTTGGGCAGACGCAGCTTTTTGCCTAATAATTTTGCAGGGATACTCTCATTTGGCTTTAATGAAGCCAAAGCTCTATACACCTCGTCCTCGATATCAGAAGTAAGAGTGATATTAACTTTAGCAACCCTCGATTTTGCAGAGGGTTTGGATGCAGAATGTCTGCCAAACCTTTCTCCTCCTCTGCTGGGCCTGTCTTGATATAGGGACAAACCCTGAAATTTGTCAGACAAAGAGTCTGCTTGACCGTGCCATTGACTGCTGGAGTACTGGTTGTGGCTTGTGCCTTGTGACTGGTTTTGATTCAGGTGTCGAGGGCCTGGGGTGCCTCGCGCAGCTCCTGGGTATACGAAACCCTGGTCCTGACTATACCCCCCTCTACCCCTTGGGCTGCTGTTGGGGTATGAATATCTATTGTAGCCTGACTGGGGCTGATATGAGGAACTAGGAAACTTGTCAGGTCCCACTCCCCCTCCACGTGGACCAGTTCTGAACTGTGGCGCCTCAGAGCTCCTTCCTCTCAAAAACTCCACCTGTTGGTACTGAAAGGAATTGGGACCAGGATTAGGACTGTAATTCTGATTATGCGAGCTGTTAAAGGCCTCTGGTTTAGGGGCAGCTATACTGTGCTTTGGTAATGGTGGAGCGGAGGGGATGAAAGGAGCTGGGGGCCGCTGTATGGGCACTGCCGGACGGGCAGAGCTGTTGTAGTAACCTGAATATGGGCTCAGCTGTGGGCTAGTTCTAGGGTGGAGCAAGGCTGGGCCAGGTCTGTAATAATTCTCCTTGGCCTGGAAGTCAGGGGGTGGATGCCTGTGATAGTGTTCTTTGTAAGGCCCTCCTCTACCTCTGCTCATAGCGCAGGGGTGGGACGTGAAGGGGGCCTGTGCAGCTTGATGTGCAGCCTCTGTATGAGTGTACGTCCTCTAGCACAAACAGCAGACCCCGGTGAAAAGTCAGGCCAGGCCAATTACACACTGGGAGTATCTGAAATACAAATAAAGGACAATGTCAGGAGAATATTAATGAGGAGAAATAAATAACAGTTAAGGTAACTGAATGGTGTAAAAATGAGCAGCGGCATGGAGGGCAAGAGAAACTGTCATTCCAGCAAATAACACAAGTTCAGACCCTGCTGGCAAATCTCCAAGCTGCTCAAGTGTCCTTGGATAAGTGAGTGAATCTATACCAGCTTCAAGGACACAGTTTAAAGTGCAGTCCTAAACTAAACAGTGTAAAATAAATGATGGACAATAAAATATGTAGGTATAAAGGAAAAAATTAAGATTATGTGCAGAGAATAAGCTCTAATGTACACCAACACTGGCAACGTTACTGTGTATACCATCAGATTACACCCTCGCCTGTCTACAAGGATACTGCAGGGTGACATACTGTCTCTCCCAGTCACACTGAAACTTAATCCCAAGGTAAAAGGATGGTGATTAATAATTCAGACCTTCTTGTGACTATTCTGTTTTATTTCTGGCCTTACAAATTATTGCTGGATCTGGATCCATAGCGGAGAGGAAAAGTGAGACACTGATGCAGACAAAAAGGACAGCTCCAAGGGCACGAGAACGTGAAGGGCTGCCTGTCAGTGACAAGCTGTGGACAGAAAACCGTGCAGTTGCTAGCTGACAGTTCTGACTATGATGATAAGGTTTTGCAGAGCTAGTTTAATTCCTTCCTTTAAAAAACAAAAAACAAAACACACATGAAAACATTCAAGGAGTAGAAATATAGATCCTAAACAGCGTGGACCAGAATTCCAATATCCTTCTATGGTACAACATTGATTCAGCCTCAAGTGTCATATCTGACAACACTCAATAATGTCTATATCAGTGAGACTGACAACAAGGAGACACCCAATACTGAGTCAGGTTTCAACCCCTCTGGCCCAGTCAGCAGCACTGGTCTGTCACATAGAGCTGAGCAGGCCCGAACGCCGCCACATTAATAGAGAACACCACAGTGTTGGTTCATCACGGTAATAGGGACCGACAGGGCCGGCAGCCCAGGGGCCAAATGGGGCTGGAGCTGACTCATCTTGACCCTGATGCAAGGCAACAGTTGACAGCCAAAATAACAACTCCATGTTTTTCAGAACCCCACTGTCATTATGCTCCTCTCTGCTTCCAGGCTGGGGAGAAGCATGGACGAGACAACCTATGTGACAACTGATGAATCAACTCTTTTGCACACTTCATGCGGTTGTGTCAAGACACAGCTAAACACTGTCTGATCTTTAAAGTGACCCCTTTCTCCATTTACTGAGACCTCTGTGTCAACAACAGTGCAGAAATGAAACCTATGAATCGATGCACATATCTAAACATGTGCATGCAACCCACCATATCTACTAGAACCACAAGGCCGTCAGAGGCAGTACTGAATATCTCACCTACTGTGGCTCAAATTAAAGTGGGAGTTTTAAACGTTGCTGATCCTGTAGCTTCTCGATCAGATGACTGGAACACGAATATTATAACAATAGCAGCTTTAAATACAAAAACCATAAAGTAAAAACGTAAAGAAAGCAGAAAGCAAAGTGGATTTTGTTAAAACTATAATCTGTGTAACTGCAAAAATGGTTTCCAGTGCGCAGGGTCTTCTGCTTTGGATGAGCGAGGTCCTTGTCCGTGTGTAATCCACAGTGAAAACACCACCAGTGATGTCGGTCGCTTATAAATGCTGTATGCTGTGCTGTAAAAACACTTTGCAAACTATTGCACCACGAAAGCTGAGGTAAAATTCGCCACGAGCCGTGTAAGTAAAAGGAAACAGAGACTGATAGACACGCAATAAGTTTCGATTTCATTTCTGACAGTAAGTTAGGTTTCTATTGTTGGTCACGTGACCGGCAGGGGCGCGCCGAGGGCGGACAGACTGGTGCACAGACAGAAAGGCAGAAGTGTCTATAAAGTATAAAACATAAAAAAGCACAGCTCGTGTGTGACTGACTTTTCACGCTTCAAATAGGTCGCTCTGCGGTCCACCACCAACAATCAATGTGCCTGTGTTACTGTGCAGCCACAAGGACATCCTCCCTTGAATGCATGCTGTGGGCTATACAGTACACTGGCAGAGGAGACATGACATGCTCAGATCAGATTCTCACATTAAAAATAAAACGCAGGAGGGAGAATGGTGGAGACTGGTAGTAATGTAATACATTTTGGGGGATACAAATATCACAGGAAAACGGTGAGATCTTGTTACGGGATTGTGACAGGGTGGAAAAACTAACATAAGAGTACTATAAGGTGAAGGTCACTATCAAAAACAAGAGTAGCACAGGCACATGTTGTGCCCAAAAGAATAACATAGCCCTAGTGTCCACACATGGCTCATCACACTGCTGTGATTACTCAGTGAAATGCGGTTTAACCTAGAAAGCAGCGAGGGTGCACTCACACAAACTTTACCATCAGTGGGGGTGATTTCCTGCCACTTATGAATCAATAGATGGACCCAAGCTTATTAGAATTATAATCATATTTAATAATGAACGACTTAATTTAATAAAACAAAGTCTGTCTTGAATTTCTAGCACACATGTACCAAGTTGCATTACAGGAAAGTGTTGGACACATACAGCAAGCATAAAAACAGTTAACACATAGTTTCACATTTGTGTATCACTGTTAATTTAATCTGGACGACACAAATCCATGCTGTTTGACAGGGTGTCTCAGTTAGTAAACACAGACAAACATTGAGGGGCATACAGATTATTACTTTTGAGCATGCCCTTCCTCATACAAGTCAATGGAAATATAAATATATATCTACTTTCCTTGATATAAGTAACATCTAGCTATTTGTCACTGTGAATACATTTATCATTATAGTTTGTGTGAGTCAAAGGAAATTAATTCATTGTTACCCATTAACAAAAGGTTAATCGTCCATAGCTACGACTGAAACTCAAAAGTCCTCTTGGCTATCCTTCGCTTTTACTCGACGTGTTCTTTAAAGAAACACAAACCTACAACAGGAGCAGCTACAGGTTAGACGTGTTGCTTACATTCGGTTAAAACCACCGAGACACATGTATTCAGACTTTTAACTCTCTGCCGACGAGAGAACCGTTAAGCGTTAGAAGCTAACGGCAGCAAGCAGCAGCCAACTGAACATCGGTCCTCCTCCAGCTAACGTTAGCTAGCCTGCTAGCTCATCACTGGCAGCAGTACACCGCACTGGCACTGCACCATTTCAGACTACCGCCTGCAGCACAGCTAATTCACTGACTGCTAACGCAGGATACTCAAACTACACCTCACCCGAGCCACAGAAACGATTTAAAGAAGCTAAACGGCTTTAGCTGGTTACCTTTACTCGCAGTGTTCCGCCTCAGTTGGCTCTTGTTGGTGTGGTTTTAATGCGGTGGTACAAACAATCAAAGAAAGAACTGGTGCGCCAAGAAGTGACGTTTGTCCATCGCGACCGACGCAGACAGCAACACGGCGCATGTGTATGATGTAGGCACAACGGCAAGGTTCGAATATATTTCAGACGTGCCCTTCCTGTGCTTTAACATTGTGGTTTGGATATCTTTACAGAGAAACGTACACTCAGTTTGTCGAATTTCAGAGTGAATGAATATTAAATCAGGTTAAATTTTACGAGTATAGCACTTTTAAAACACAAAGGTTTACAAAGTGCAAAAAAACTAGTAGTTACTGGTAGTAAATATTAAAATAAATCAACAAAACAGCAATATATCAATAAATAAATAAAAATAAAAATAAAATGAAATAAAATATAAAATGAAAAAATAAAATTTTAAGACCTGAGTTAAGGGGCTTTTGCGACATCTCTCTACCAGTTAGATTTGAGTTTACTGATAAGGTTATATTAACGCATATAGGCCTATATCTTCCACTTTTTAAAAAAGTAATTGAAAAACACTGCTGTGACACAGTGTCACTGACCTCAAATTTGAATTTGCTTCTTTGGCTCGACCAGAGTGGTTAAATTTGGCCAAAACACACTGTAGGGCATTTAAGCCTTACATATTATACCTTCTTCTATTTGCAACGTAAGTTTTCACACAAATGAATATTGATTCAAATGTTGAATTCTATGAGTATAGCACTTTTACAACACAAAGATTTAAAAAGTGCAAAAAACAAACAAACTAGTAGTTACTGGCAGTAAATATAAAAAGAAATCAACAAAACAGCAATAAATAAATAAATAAATAAAGCATAAGAATAACAATAAAATAAAAAAATAAAATAAAATACATTAAAGTAAAATAAAATAAAATGCCACACCCCTATGTATTAATTGAAACAAAACTTACCAGACTCTGCCATTTTAAGATTTGTTAAGGGGCTGTTGCACTCTGCTGTGACACAGTGCCACTGTCTTTAAATTTGTGGGTGTCAGAATCAGAATAAGATTTATTACCCAGCAGATTATCATACAAGGACATTGCCTTGGTGTTTGGTGCACACAATAAACATATTAAGAGAAAATAAAAAGAAAGACAAGTAGATACAGAATGGAAAAAGTATAATAAAATATGTGAGAGATACTATAAAAATGCAATAACAAATCTAATATGTACAATAGGGAAATGGAATTGTGTTTAATGTAAATGCTACAGCTCATGATAAGTTGAATTGGGATCGTGTGATAAGGTGTCTTCCTCTCCCACCCTCTAACAGGTCAGGAAATTTATGTAAAACTTGTGACTCACAATAAATGTATTTGGCAGTGAGCTTTTAGGAGACCACAGATTTTATCTTGCAAGACAAGTTTTGCACTTTGCTATTATATCCAGTAGGTGTCAGCATTACTCTGTGAATTATGTGAGATTGTACTTGTTAAAAAGCAAAGCAGG